TCCCCCGGTGGCATGACAGCAGCCCTCTCTAGCTGGATAGCTTTCTCAGCCTTGAATGTCTCCAAATGAATACTCTCAATGAATTCCTCATGGGCATGGATGGAATGCCTCAGCCTAGCCACCTACTCCTGTAACTCTTCCACCTGCTTTCTGCAAGATTCCACCAGCAGGCACCTTTCACACTGGACAGTCTCCCCTGCACTCCACCCTCAGCCTGGCTTTCTGAGAGTGGGAAATGCAGTCCACAGTCTCTACAAATACACACCAGGATCTGGGTAGAGGCATCCATGGTTAGGTTCTCTGTCTGGATACAGTTGCAGATAGAGGAGACAGGAGCAGTGTTGGTACTGGTGATGTGGCCCTTCCTAACCGTGGTGATTATATTACGATTCCCTCTTATAAATTCTCCTGTTTGCTAGCTCCCCTTGGTCACTTAGCCTCTTGCTTTTAAGGCCTTCTCTCCTAGGTCAGCCCTACCCCCTTGTTAATCACACAGTGGGAGGGTGATCACAATGCTGACTGAGGCTAATCAAAGATGATCAAGGATGATCCAGGGAACAAAGGATCAAGCAGTCCCCAAACACTCAATCCCAACTGATCCTGTAGCTTAAAATAATCTGAAAGAGAGAGAAAAAGAAGCAGTCAAACAAACTCACTTGGGGTGAGAGTCCAAAAACAAATTTAAAAAAGGAATTTTCCCAGTCACTTACAGAATCCCAAAAATCTATCCCAGGTTATGCCTCTTACCTCAGAGCCTGAGCAAATGAAAAAGGTTCCTTCCCAGAGTCTCATAAGCTTGCAGCTGCCCAGTCCTGCCCTGGCCACACTGACTTCCTTGTGGCTTCTCAGAGTCAATCTGTCCATCCTCCTTTCCCCAGGACTGCTTGAGTTCTCCTATAAGGAATCAGCTACTTAAGGTTCCTTCTCGGTGCCACATATCTCTGGCTGACTCATTTAGCAAGCCTGCTCCAGGCTTCAAGTCTCCTGCAGGGCAGCTCTCTTGCTCCATCTCACTTTGCTTTCTCACAATGGGCAAAAGAGTTTTGTTTCAGGAAAGGGCAAAATAATTTTGTTTCAGGAAAAGGGAGTTCTGTTGATTATCAGGAATAACATACAATTTCTAATTGAGCATAGTAAACAATCTTAACTAATCCTTTGAACTCAAAATATTTAAATTCATTACTTAGAAGAAGTCATTTGAGGAGATGTCTTAAAACAGGCCAATTAAGGAATTTTAAGAATCTAAAATCCAATTAAATCCCTACTTTTTCTGTTACCAATAATTGGTATTCTCTCCAGGAATTCTAGGTTTTCCAGGAATATAGGGTCTAACCATTTGGTACCTAAAAGGAGAAGCCATTAACATCTTTAATTACAGAAGCATTTCAATATCACAATAAAACCAATGACAAGAGTCTTTAAATCTAATCCATTGACAGCATTCTCGTTAACTTCCTCTCACCTCTTCTCCTTTCAGGAGGTTGTCCTTGGGGAGGTTTTCTTGTGGCTTCTATGATGATAGCTTCTTTGTTCTTCTTATGTATCTGTAGCACCTTGTTTGTAGAGGTAGACACATAAATTGATGAGTATTATGTGTCATAGCAGAGGCTGTGAGAGTGATGGGTGCTCACTTCCAAGTTTTTTATACTCTTCTTGAAACTATAAAAAATACACTTCTTTCAATTTGGTTTATATTTAAAGTTGGCTGCTTGTCATCCTTTCACTTGCTCCGTGCCTTCAAGTGTTGATTTTCGTGAAACCTTCAGTTTCTAAATATGCAGTTTGCTTAATGAATGAATAATGCATATGCTTCTAATTGGCTTTGTTCTTCTGTGGCAAAAGAGTACTAGATAATTTTTGGAGTTTTAATTCTTTCTTTTTATCCAGTCCATTTTCTGAGCTAGTCCTTCAATTTTATTAGAATTCAACACGTCATAAAATTCTGTTTGTTTTTTTTTTCAAAAAGACTTAATGCTCCCGTTCTTTAAAAGTTTAGTTTTCTAAACAGTCTCTTTAAAATGCAATAATGTTTAAAGAGCATCTGTAGCTTATAAAGTTATTAAAAAACAGGAGTACTTGTGGCACCTTAGAGACTAACAAATTTATTAGTGCATAAGCTTTCGTGGGCTACTGCCCCGGATATGAATCCAAAGAAGTGGGCAGTAGCCCACGAAAGCTTATGCTCTAATAAATTTGTTAGTCTCTAAGGTGCCACAAGTACTCCTGTTCTTTTTGCGGATACAGACTAACATGGCTGCTACTCTGAAATAGTTATTAAAGTTGTTGATTCTTCATAATAATTTATGGTGAAATGATTCCTTTTTTCTTCCTGAGTTGGGTGAGGGAGTTGCTTATATATTGTTAAATAATTAAATAATCCCCCACTAATATAAATATTCTATACTTTAAATGGCTTCTTGTATTATTAATCAGTTTAGTAGTTTATATTATTAGATTCCATACTGGTACATACAACATTTTACCATTGACATAGCAATGATATTAGGAAATTATATTAGAAGCTTTGCATTTAGATAACATATATACAAGCACGCATTTCAGAAAGCTGTTTGTAAGAAATAAACAAAAGGTTTATAACTTTTCTAACTATACATGTTTTTTTAAAGGCTTTTCTTTGAAAAAAAACGAGAAAGGAAAGGGTTCACTTTATGCTTAGAGAACACATCCCTACATTCCTCTATGGAATATCCTGAATAAAGAACATCATCACATTCTGTTACATGACCAAGTTTTCCTAAAATATCTTCTTTACAGTGTTTGTTTTCTTGAGATAAGGATTTATTTCTATACCAATCTGGTAATCATATATCAGGCAGATGTGTCTTGGTGTTGATAAGACATTCCTTTTACTTAGTTCCTTTTTACACCAAATGGTGTTTACCAGTTGCTGTTTTCAGAATTAAAATTCCTATCAAATATTACATAGAAAGCCCCCATCACAACAACCATGTTTACATCTATAACCAAAAAAAAATAGTAAGAAATTGGCATAGAAAGTTAAAGCAAAATAAAATTCAAAATGGAGCTTTACTGAGTTTGTATATAGCCTCATAAATATGGTCTTATCTCCCTTGACAATGGGGGACTTATCCTCAGGATGACAGAAAGCAGAAGCCTCTTGGAATTTCTTTGATTAGTTTGAGCACCTCATAACATAACTAACTAAAAACACTACACTGCACCTTCTCTGAGCTATAAGGAGCAGAAAGGGCTGAAGTGCTGGTTTGTAGCAAGCAGGATAGGGGTTGCAGGAGAAGTTGACTGCTGTCCAAGACTATAGGCTCTATTTCTTAAATGACTCTTCAAACCCCTTCCTTTCTTCCCTGAGAACTTGCTTCCACCCCTTCTGCTTCTTCTTACCACACCATTAACCTCTGATTCCCCAGCTGGCCACACAGTCCAAAAAGATCACATAGAATCATTGAAATGTTGGGCTGGGGACGTCATCTAATCCACCCACTCGTGTTGATGCAGGGCCAACTAAACCTAGACCATCCCTGATAGGTGTTTGTGTAACTGGTTCTTAAAAGCCTTCAATGACAGGGAATCTACAACCTCCCTTGGAAGCCTGTCCCAGTGCTAGACTACCTTTATAGTTAGGGCCCTACCAAATTCACGGCCATGAAAAATGCATCACAGACCATGAAATCTGGTCTTCTGTGTGATTTTACCCTATATTATACAGATTTCATTGGGAAGACCAGCGTTGCTCAAGTTGGGGTCCTGACCTAATAGGGAGTTGTACGGGGGTATCAAGGTTATTTTAGGGGGGTTGTGGTATTGCCACCCTTACTTCTGTGCTGCCTTCAGAGCTGGGTGGCCAGAGAGCAGTGGCTGTTCACTGTGTAACCAGCTCTGAAGGTGATGCCCTACTAGCATAGTATATCATGCCACCCTTAATTCTGCTCTGCTGCTTTCCCTGCACCGCGT